GCAAATTACGCACCCAGCGTAATAATAACAAGAAGTGAAGTGAGGGACCGCAAAAAAAGTAGTGTGCTTGGCAATGGTTACGCGTGCGCAGGCGGGGTATGGAGACGGAATAATGAATATCACCACCCTTCAGATCGCTCCCGTGCTCTTCGGAGAGCCGGAGAAAGTGGCATACTACTGTAGCTGCGGACCCATGCATGAAAAGGATTGGAATCGAAGGAGGTAAAAGGAGAATTTCTCTGAATAGTTAAATAAAAAATGTAACTAAAAATAGTATAACCAAAAATACCTTATTTGGCGTCACCCCGTCTTCCAGCAAAAATCGTTCCGGGCGAAATTCATGGCTTGCTTCAAATACGGGTGAATGTGCCAGAATATGATGGATGTCGCCGATTACCAATGTGTCGGCGGGGATTCTTGTAGATCCAACAGATGTGTCTCTGACGGTTCGGTGGGTAACATTTACAGGAATAATATTTGCACATCGTTGAATTTCTTGAATCGCTGCACTAAAAAGAGGTAAGTTCTAGTCAAGAGTATTAGAGTTTAGTAATAAAACCACAAGATCACAATACATGTACGCATGGAATGATAAACCTTAAAGAAATGACCCATTGAAAGCCGATGCTGAGGAGGCGGACAAGACAATCGCCGTCGCGTCGTCGCGCGCGGCATATCGTGTGGCCATTCGCGGAAAATCTGCGATTTGTCGTGTGGAGCAGCGAAACTCAACCGGAATTCGAATTCGAGTTCAGCCGGAGACAAGACTCCATGACGAGCCATATCAAATTTTCCTATTTTTTAACGCTTCAATTCAGACAGCCAGACAGTACACCTAGTCTGCCGGGCGCGGCGTCGCTCGCAACGCTCACGAACGCGGCACATTACGACTGTCTTGTCACATAGCCCACACACATGTGTTTGTTCATCCAGACAATTGTGGAGTACTAATAAAGCCACCCCGTCGTGAACGGGTTTTGCTTTGCTCGAAATCGATACTGTAAGATGATGCCTGGGAGCATTTCGGCTTTGTGGGGAGCCTCACCCCTCAGCAGCGCTTGTCCAGGCAGCCTTATGGAGACCTGTGAATTCCTGCAACTGAAATGGCTCATTTCTGCCAGCTCACGGGTCATTCTAGTCCCGCTTCTTATGTAGATGCGGTCTAGGATTTAGTCCCACTATAACGAAGCGAAGTTTACTTTGAACACCCCCCCCCGTAACTTCGAAGGTGAGTTGCTTGATTTCTATCCACATCACTCCACAACATTTGAATTCCATTGTTTATAACATGAAAATCTTACTTACTTTGTGTAGGGCAAAATGGCCCGCGCTGAGGACGTTGGCTTCCCATCTCGGCCAATTACGGACAATATTTCATCACGCATTTTTTCCTACAAATGATAAAAATGACCATTCACAAAAGCTTCTAAGAGAGGTTGATCAACGAGGTTCAAGGGATTTTTTGCGACATTTCGATTGGAAATATACTCGAAATCCCTGAGATCGGGTAGGCGTGGCTGCATGCTTCAACTTAACCTGAAGGTGTCTATGCTTCTGGTGAGATATTTTCATCTTGACACAATTGTTGTCGTGTCTCTGTCCAACACAGAACAAGATGACAGTTGTCTCCAGATTGCAATA